TTGAATCACTCAACTAGACAGTTTCCTCAAGGAAACTGAATGAAAAAAATGCCCACAAATGTGAATGAAGTGGAGTAAGAACAGTCACCAAGATCATCCTACCTGACACAGGAAAAATGTTTTATACCCCTTTAAAGAAAATATTTTTAAGACATTGAAATATATAAACATATATCAAATGTCAATTTGGAGAATTATTAACCTTTGTGTTTACCAGATTTTGTTACTTTGGCTGTGTTGATGCAAAAATTTTAGTCAAGTTTTAATTTCTGATGTAACTTTTAGTTGGAATAAAGAGAGCTAGCTGCATCCCTTAGATCTTTCTTCTTGCCACTGACTTATTTAAAATGCATTTTTGTTTTTATTTTGTTTTCTTTCTACGGTGTTGAAATATATTAAAAATTCCCTGACTCATTGTTTCTCACAAGGTGAAGATATATATATATTTTTGCTTATTAAAATCTAGCAGTTTTCATATGAGCTGAAATAAAATTAGCTGAGTAAATTTAAAATGACTGCACAAGTTTTTAAAAATGAAAATCAATGTTGCTTGCTGACTGTTGACATGGAACATGCACAATGTTTTGGGTTGTGTGGATGTTCAATATGACATTCACAATAATACGTGACATTACCAGCTGCAATAAAATCTAATGCTAACTTTAAAAAACTGAACTATCCTTTCTATAGATGAATAAATAATAAAACATTGCTTTTCCTTAAAAGAAAAAAACAACAATGAAGCGCAACATAAAGCAACTCCAAAGGTTAACAAGAAAGTATTCATTTCTGAAAAATTCTAAAGAATATTCTGTGAATCTTGACTGGATCAGTTTAAGAAACGTTAATCTGTCGATTTACAGATTATGATTTGCATCATAAACACAACTTCCTCGCTACTTCTTGATCCCTAAATACAATCAAAAGCTAACTAAAAAAACAATTAAAAATGACTAAACCGTTACATCAATAAAATTACACGAAGCAGTAATTTGATTAGTTTTTTTGTTTAACGATTTTCTCATATTTTAACGAAACATTTTTAACAGGATCACAAATATTTGAAATACTGCCTTGACAACAAAGTTTTCAGTAGACACTCTTTCATGTTGATGTGAAGCTATCTGAATGCGCTTCTTAAAGATATGAATATATTACTGCGTTCCGAGTGGTTCTGTTCTACTTTTT